ATCAGTTTGCACGATGTTGGCACCCACTGAATATAAAACCCGACATGACAGAGTGGGCCAATATCTGCACTGGAAAATCTGCAACGCCTACGGGAAGGAAACTGAAAGAAACTGGTATGAACACCACCCAGACCCGGTTACGGAGATAGGACCTGTTACAATTCTATGGGACTACACAATACACACTGACAGAACAATCAAGGCCAACCGGCCAGATATTGTTATTAAAGACCACAAACAAAAACGGTGCCTCCTTATTGATATGGCAGTCCCTGCTGACTGCAATGTATCTTTGAAGATATTCAAAAAGCTGTCAAAATACAAGGACCTTGAAATAGAAATCTAAAAAATGTGGCATATAGGAACATCAACAATCCCTGTTGTAGTTTGAGCCCTAGAACTGGTTGGAAAAGATTGCAGTAGACTAATTGAAGGGATTCCTGGAAGTCCATGTCTCAAGGAGATACAAAAAATTGTTCTGACAAGTACAGCCCACACTTTACGAAGGGCTTTATCTATGTAATTTTTTTTTTTTTTTTGTCAGTGGAAAGTGTCATGATGCCATTTCTAACCTTAGGTCCCTGGGCGGGACCCGGAAAGAAATGTGTAAACGCCAGAAATCAAAGAAAATAATAATAATAATAATAATAATCGTCTGCCCGTTTTCGAGTACACACAATCCCTGTTGCAGACGACTGTTGAAGCAAATTTGATTGACCAACACGTTCAAGACCCAGCCTATAGTCTATGTTGTAACTCTACTGAGCTGACCTTAGTTATAGTTTTTGAGAGAGATCACATGATCTGGCGTGATCAAATGTTTGAAGAAGGACAGTAGGTTCCGTCTATTTTTTTTTCACTCATAAGGCTTGGGTGAAAACATAGTATGATTTTCAGAAATTTTCCAAAGATGCCGCATATTGGGATCACATCTCCAGACCAATAACATCAAGATGTCCCTTCCCTGATATATCGACCATATTGAGTTTCGAACCGGTGACCCACAGTCAGAAAGCGAACTTGTTAACCACAAACATATATCTTAATTAATTCATATTCAGGAACCCTTATACAGGTTTTATTAAATAAAACTACCTAAGAATGACAATCATGTTTCATGATCAGTTTGTCTTGGTTTAGTTTGGTTTGTTTTACGGTATATCAACCTCAGGAGGCACAGTAGAGTAATGGATAACGGCTTGGATTGAGGAATCGGAGAGCCGAGTACGAATTCCAGTCGAATCCATTACTTACGTGCTAATACCCTTGGGAAAGGTATGAATCCTCCTCTTCTCCCTATAAGCTATGGGTAAATAGCAGGACAGACTGGGTTCTATAGCCTTGGATGGCAACTGGTCTAGGAGAAGGACAACTCTGAATTCAAAACCTACGGACGGTCGTTTGGGGACCTTGTGGCACGTAGTGCACCAGGTCTCTGTATTCGGACCTTCAAAAAGTGTAGATGGTCCTGCACGAAACCTTCACCACTATAATCAAATCTCATGTGCTATACATGCGGGTTGGGTACCGCTTGTGAATTCCAAATTCCCATGAAACTTCAATATTGGAGCCGGCTCAACCCACCTCGGGTGAATGCCGTTACAAGAAGAGAAGATATCAGCCTCAATGTGTTATTTAATGACAAGACTTTTATTGCTGGTAATATTTTTTTTTTCAAAAATGTATTGCTACTTATTTTTTTCTTCAAAAATGTATTGCTGGTAATATTTCTTTTTCAAAAAATGTATTGCTGGTAATAATTTTTTATTCAAAATTTTATTGCTGGTAATAATCTTTAACAAAAATGTATTAAAACCTATATTTACACTTTCATGGTGCTTTGACCCCAGTTTGTGGTTTAACTATTTGCCCATAGCTGGGATTCTAACAGGTGCTACTAACCCGGGTTAGGGGGGACCTGGGAACACCAGCTATTAAGAGGTGGCTCCATGCTCCTCAAAACCTCCTGATCAGAGGCCTTGCTGTCGGATGTAGTTTATCGTCAAACCAGGACGCGGATGTAGTTTATCGTTATACACAGGATGGCAATTTGTTTTGATTTAGATTTTTATATTCGAAGTTTATGAATGAATTGGCCTTATGTGTACACACAGTTACAAGCACTTCAAATATAGACAATTCATTCATCATTTTGGAAGAAATATAAAACAGTTATTAGATACGAAGGAACATTGATCATATCGCCGTCATTCTTTTTTCTAGGATATATATATATATATATATATATATATATATATATATATATATATATATATATATATATATATATATATTATGGGTATTGATTATAAACCAATGCCAGATATCACACAGGAAATGTGCAGTTCAGCCTCTGATGCAATGAAAGCATCAAAATGGAAATTTAACGTTATGGATGGTCATGCTAAGAAGACAACACATATTGATTTAAAAGTCTGCACTTTGGCTTTGTACTCACGAAGAAGTGAATGAAGAAGACAATAATAAAGAAAGGAGCACTGGAAGATGAAATTAGTAAAAAGTCGGATATATATATATATATATATATATATATATATATATATATATATATATATATATATATATATATATTCATACCTTTTCCAAGGTTATTAGGTCTCTGAATTCAAAACCTGCGAAGGGTCGTTTACTGAACTCCCAAACGAATTAATCAGAAAAAGAAATTGTTTACATGTGAATTCAACAATGAAACGATAGATTCTGAGAAGAAATCAACTTGTGGCCCATAACCGGATGTTTTCTCATCCACAGTGACAAGTAAATTGTGCAAATATCTCTTCTGCGCATTATCCACATAGTATATTTAAACTAATCGGTACCGTTCCCGCATATGAGGACTGTTCAACTCAGAAACGGAGCTAATCGGCCCATGTCAAACAGAGAAGGATGCTCATCGAGTTAGGTCACTTTAATTCAATTAAGCCCATTCACGTTGTCTCAGATCAGTTTAATCTTGAAAATTCTCATAAAAATAGATAGGCTATTTCTTTGCTACAACTGAACTATTTATTCATAAACAAAATTCTGTCACAGGATCAATTATCTGAACTTAGTATACATACAATATATATATATATATATATATATATATATATATATATATATATATATATATAAATAAAATGGATATAAATCAAACAGAATGAAGAAATTTTTGAAAAAATAAAACCGAAAAAATGTCAAGTCTTATTCCGAAAAACAATATTCAAAAAAAAAAAATTTTTTTTTTTTTTTTTAAATAAAAAAAGTCTTATTTTTTTTAATTTGAAATTTAAAAAAAAAAAAATTTTTTTTTTTTTTTTTTTTTTAAATTTTCAAATATTGTTCGGAATAAGACTTTGTTTTTTGTCCATCGTATTTGTTATATTGAACTGAATTGTATTTTGATGAATATTGTCTTGAAAAAGGTTTAATAAACCGAAACGTCAGACGTCGACATTTCTTTTCATTTAACTACATTTAAGATTTTTTTTGTTTGTTTTTTCAAAATTTCTTCATATATATATATATATATAAAAAGACATTTTATGTTTATACGTTCTTTTTATAGATACAAATATTTAAGTAAACTCTCTGTTTATAATAAACAGTATTAAACAACATTTACCGGCCTGAATGCCCGAGAAATTTTCACAGAAAATATTCGTCGTCCGACAGGATTCGAACCTGTATCCTATACGGAACCGTCATTTAGCTTGGCGTGCCTTTACCGATTTGGTCACAGAGGAGCGTTCAGTTTGCAAGGTCGAATTTACTGTATTTGAACTTCAATCTTCCATGAATCTCTCACGTACATTCATATCTGTTCATGGCGTATCAGATGTAAACAAATGACGTCACACATTATGAAATGGACAAAGTCCGATAATTATTTTAAGACATTTTTATGTTTATACATTCTTTTTATAGATACAAATATTTAAGTAAATGCTCTGTTTATAATAAACAGTATTAAACAACATTTACCGGCCTGAATGTCCCAACAATATTCATCCTCCGTCTTACTTTATTACTGATGGAAAACATTTGCAAAATTCGTACTGACAAACCTCTCATCAGCGGAATAACAGTGGGTAGGGGAAGGTCCGTTAAAGCTTATTGCCCGTAGATTGGAAGAGATTATTTTTGAGTTATAAAACCACTATAGTAAATATATAGGTTATACACATTTACACCGAACATGGTAACCGGTTTTGAACGTACCATTTGTACACCGGTTCTTCTGGTTCCTTCTGGTTCCTTCTGTTTGTTTTTTTACACCATACTCTACGCACTCTTTTGCGACCGGAACTCTAGGCTCTAACTTCTTAAGAAGCTCTAAGCTGTCACTGATATTTAAGGTCTGTACGCTTCATTTTTACACAGTCCATCTGCTTCGATGCCATGATGAGGGAAGAACAATTAATATATTAATCAAAATAACAAAAATAATAGCTACTTTCTCATGCATGAACTAATGTATCATACTTTCCGTCTTTGTTTAGAATTGAAAGGTCCACCACCACCGCCGCCGCCAAGTGGTCACTTTGAGAACTAATAACTACGCTCACAAATTTTGAAATATATCGCAGACGATTTGGAAGTTTTTTGGGTTTTTTTTCCAGCAGATTCTTTTTTAATTTTGCCAGCAAGTTTTTGTCCTTTGCATCCGAAGTCCATTGATGGTGGTCCGTAGATGAAAGGCTTGTCTGTATATAATATTGTTTTATGACATAAAAACATCCAACTACTTGCATATATAATAGCTCTATTTCAACATATTTAGTCTGGATGAGGATTGAAGCATAATTTTGTCTCCTTTCAATTTTCTACTCAATTTTTATCCCTGGATTTTCCATTTTAAATTTATTTGGTTCCTAATCATTTTCTTTTTCTTTTTCATCTATAATTCTCTCCATTTTCTCTATTCTGCTTTTCCTTCATTGTCTAATCTTTATATCTTAAATTTTATTCTTTGAATAATTCTTATTATATATTCGATGATTTCCTTATTTTATATTTTTCTTACTTTTTTTACTTCCTTTTTTTTCTATTTGTTTTTTTTTTATTCCTTGAGTCCCACATCTCTACTTCTTCTTCCATACATTTGGCGTTCGTTTGGCGTCCGCATCGCTACCACTTTAGTTAAATACTATCCATCTGCGGATATAGCAATGTTCAATCTCACCATCAGACATTCTTTCGGAAAATTCGTGCCTAACTCCATGAACAGTCACCTTCATACAACCCCCTCCCCAATTATTCTGCGTCATCTGATTCTTGGAGTTAGCCAGAAAATATCTACCTATCTGGCCCCGCCTTCCTTATCCTTACTGCTAGTTGGCGGCTCATGCTCGCCATTAATGACCACCAATACCGATGTCCGGACATCAATAATACCGAACAGTGGTGGCTATTCAACGGCTAAACACAGACTTATGGTAGCACGATTCCAAGAAGACCCATCTCTTTCTTCATCATTTCTCCTCTTTTATTCGGCCATTTTATTTTCTTCTATTTCTTCATAGTATTCTTAGTCACTTCCACTTTTCCATCTTCATAAATCTCTTATTTCCATAAATATGTTCTTTTTAGTAATCTTTTTTTTATCTTCATAAAATTCTTCATTATCGTCGTCTCATTCTTCTATCTTTTTTCTTGATAAACAATGACTTATTCATTTCTCTATATTTATATTTCCTCCCTTTTTAATATTTGTTGAATGATTTTAATTCTTTTAATCTTGTTTTTTCTTTGTACAACTAACACGTTTTGGAACTAACAGTAATTCTTCTTTTAAAATTTCTCTATTTTTATTTTTCTCAAGTGCCTTCTTGTTTTTCCACTTATTCGGTACTCCGTTGCTACGCAAGATGATAAAATATTTTATCTAAATGCTAGTTTTTTTTTAAATGGACAGATCTTTAATCTTAGATCATATATTCTGTTTAAACTTAAGTGTAATAAAAAATGACCTCAAAGTTTCGCAGGGTTGAAATTATACATTATATTATATAGCTTTCTGTTACCCAGAAAGTACTTCTTGCGATAAATATCATGTTAATATCATTCATATTTTGTGCCTATCTACGCTAGCGCGTGCCTTCGTTTATTTTTAATTAAATGACAGACCTAAAAATATTTCTTCAAAATTAAAAGTAAAACTTTAAAAATAACTTATTTAGTAATAAATAAAATTATGAAATTTTCCACCAAAAACTTATAATTATCTGATTTCTTAGTGTTATAAAAATTAACGTTTTTTTCCGAGAAATTAGTCATACGATTTTTTTACTCTCATTTCACTTGTGATATTTTTAAGTGAATTCCCGTTTTGCTGCCATTTGTATATTTTATTTTGATTTAATTTAAATTCATATTGAAAGATGTTCGACTATCGCTCGGTTCACAGGCAAGGTCTTTTGAATAAGAGTAAAGGTTTATATCTTGTTTCCTGTTTAGGAGTGCGTTTCCGGTGCCTTCTAAAGAATTCTCATTCTCTTTCATTCCATGTAGCTTCTGAGGCTTCGTGGCATTATCACCTTACCTGGAGAGAGTTGAATATAAAATACAGATACTAAAACAATAGTAATAATAATAATAATAATAGACAATATGTAATAATGATAATAATAATCGATTATAACAATAATAATGATTACGAGAAATATTAATAATAATAATATTAAGAAGCTATTATAACATTAAAATAATAGTAAAAAGAACAGATGCTAAAACAACAGTAATAATAATAATAATAATAATAATAATAATGAAATATTATAATAATCTCTTCACAGCTTCTTCTCTACCATTTTCACTTCCATTATATTGTTATTGCTTCTCATTCTCTTCTTAATCTCCTCTTTCATAGACGTTTCAGTTTCCAGTCCTTTCAATATCAGTTCACCCATTTTGTAGTAATAGAATTCCTTCTCGATCGAGCCGAAACCATTTCAGCAACATTCACACCTGCATCTTTGCTCGAAGGCTCCCCGGTGGTAATCGTTAAGAATAGAACAATAGAAAGTCTCATCGGTATTTTCACACACTACATTAGTACAAATGTTCTATATTATTTCCAGTTCTTCCTTCAATTTCCAACTCGAATTCTCCTTTCTGTTACGTCTTATTATCTTATAATTTACAAACTCACCATCTTTCTGGTAGGTATCACTGGAAATTATTAAAAATCTAATCATTTTCTTCTTATTCAACTCTGGTTGAGTTTAATGACACGAATATAATGATAATATTATAATGATACAAATATTATTATTTGTGTATATTATGTTTCCTTTTTAGTATCCTGTAGAGCCGGGTCCCAACTATGGTTCTCAGGCACTAGAAGAGAATTGTCATTTAATTGACAACACTTTCTTCCGTTTATGGAATGTTTCTTGTGGGGGGATCTTCTGAGCAACCTATATGTTGATGTTACCTGGAACACTATTAGTAAAATTGTCCATTCCTTTTCTCACGAGGCCCAATGCTCTGATTACTATTGGTACAGTTTCAGTCTTCGTTCCCAACATCCAGTTAATCTTGATCTCCAGGTCTTTGGATTTGGATAATTTCTCGATAATTTTCATGGATGTGTTTACATCGGATATTATTGTTATTTCAATAAGAAACCACAGGATACTTTAAGTCAACAGATCCTGATTGTTGGTACAATTTGTTGAATATGTAACAAACGTTACCAACATGATTTTCCTTAATTGTATAAAGTCATATGACTGTGGAGTTTGTCTATATTTCTGAGATGAGGTATTATGTACAGTATTTACATTAGTCGGACTATTGTCCTCATCTTTGTCGCCATATTGTCCACAACGTTTCGGCCGTTGTACGCTCGGCCTTCTTCAGGTGGTTGAATTTCGAACTGAACCCTTTATTTCGATCGTTGGGGTAGACTGTTCTAATTCCACGTGCCATGTTTGATGGATGTCAGTTATCAGTTATCTCCTGCTAATTTTCCCTCTGAAAGTTCTCCACTGCCTTAACCAGGAATTGAACTCACCTTCTTTGGGTCTGTCACTGGATCTAACCAACGCCTTTATCCACTGTGCCATGTGTCCTTGAGGAATTAGAACAGTCTACCCCAGCGATCGAAATAAAGGGTTCAGTTCGAAATTCCAACCACCTGAAGAAGGCCGGAGCGTACAACGGCCGAAACGTTGTGACAAATATGGCGACAAAGATGAGGACAATAGTCCGACTAATGTAAATACTGTCATATGACTGTGTAGAGTAGTTTAAAATTTCATTAAAATGTCTACGCTTATGCACAGGTAGACTATGAGAAATCTTAAAATATGTAAACAGATTAGGTGGAGTGTCTGAAAAAAGTAATTTATGCCACAGGTGTAAAATTCAGTAAATTCACAGATGAGTCTTCAAAGTATGATAAAATGAATGGAAAAAAAATATACTGTTCTGTGGATATATGAAGATGTGCATTCAATGTCCAGTAGTATACGTCCATAATCTATCGTATTAGTTAAGCTTATTATTAATAGATATTTGTTGTTATGATTATTATATTCCTTTCTTTCGTACGGTGATTCGTTTTTAACCGGAGATCTTGAACGAGGAGAGCTCTTCATCAAGTCGTACGACCTTCAAACGGATAGGATCTTTCGAGGAATACTTGCAAAGTAAAATGACGTAGAATTCTAAAGTGATAAGATACTAAGCGTAATTCAGATTACTTTAATGTGGAACTTTACGTCAGGTAGTATGCACCCCTAAACCTCAACTGGGGCAAGAATGGCTTAAACGTTCAACCTTCTGGCAACGTCAGTGTATTGAACGTTCAACTTTCCTGTAACGTCGGTGTATTTTTAAGCTTTCAATTTCTTTGAACTCATGGTCCCTATGGATAGTTACTTCGGTAAGGAGGCATTTTTTTCTCAACGTCGGTGATGTCTGGCCTCAAGGATATTGTCTAAATTTTTAAATTAAATAAGATCTTGAACGTTTTCGATTACCTTCTATGGTTTGTGGCGGTGTTATTACTGATCGACTCCAAGTTCATTATTTCCTACGAAACCAGCATTGCAGAGGGCCACTTTATCATGGCGCCACTTGTATTCTTTCTGCGCACGTATTTCACAAGCGCTAATGATAGTGAGATTTTACACCTCATTATTCTTAGTATTTTGAGCAGGTTTTCATCTTCTCCACCATTTTAATATATCCCTCTTTTTCTGCTATTCTCATTTTCCGAGTGAAGTTTTCTCGTCACGAGTAAATGGTTTCTGCTACTGCTGCTAAATCTAATACCATGAAGGCGTTGAATCTATGGGAGCAACTTTGCCTTCATCAGCTCTCATCCCATGCTTGTTATGACAATAAGCTAAATCCGCGTCCTGGGTAAGACGATAAACTACGTCCGACAGCAAAGCCTCTGATCAGGAGGTTTTGAGAAGCGTGGAACCACCTCTTAATTGTTGTTGCTCCCAGGTCCACCCTGACCCGAGGTAGTAGCACCTGTTAGGGTCCCAGCTATGGGCAAATAGTTAACCCCTAAACTGGGGTCAAAACACTATGAAAGCGTAAAAAATAGGTTTTAATATCAGAAATACTTTTTTGTAAAAATTATTACCAGAAATACATTATTCACAGATGAGTCTTCAAAGTATGATAAAATGAATGGAAAAAAATATACTGTTCTGTGGATATATGAAGATGTGCATTCAATGCACATCTTCATATATCCACAGAAAAATATAGATTTTTGGTGAAAAAAATATTAACAGTCGGCATTAAATAATAACTTGAGATTGATATGCCGTAAAACAAAACAAACCAAACCCCCAAAAGCTCTCATGGTCTCAGGGGACCGTCAAAACAGCATCAGATTAATCTGGTGGACAATGTTTTTTGCAGCGGCTGCGCGGTTTGCAACGACGTAGTCTCCAGTTTGTAGAACGCTGGTCGAAATGACAGATGACTGGTAGAGTTGTCATGAGGTCGTATCAGGACGTGACTGAGCCAGCAAACACGGTGCTGAACATTCGTGGTGAGAATGCTCGGTGGGCCGGTCCACCGACGGAGCTCCTCACAAGTCACAAGCACCCCCTCAATGGCGCGAAACTCGAAGCTCTGGACGTGGTTGTTCGCACTGAAAATTAAGTAACATCAAGTCTCCTCAGTACTTGAAAACTGTTATGAATTAAGGTGCCTATTGGGTGACATAATAATCATCTTCCTCAGCAGTCTTCCTGATCCAGACATCACAGTTTAAATCATTCTTCCTGAGCTTCTCCATCGTCCCTTTTTATGAAATTATTATTGCTATTATTAGCTGTCTTCTCCGAAAACCTCTTCACTAATTCCTTACTCTGAATACATTACTCCGCGCTTCCTATAATCCCAGTATCTGCGCTTGAACCCTCCCTCGCCGGACTAAATCTCTTTGCACACTCCACTTTGAGCTCGTCTTGTGTATCAACGCAATGAAGTCCTGGGTTTTCTATCCTACTGTTTTCATCCGCCAAACTATATTGAATCGTGTACGTAC